CAATCGGTGAATTGAATCGTGTGAGTGCGACAAGTGTATTCAGATATTCTTTAAAATAATTAGAAACAATATATTATAATCATAGTCCATGTTTCACTATGAGCTTAATACACTTTAAACATGTTTTAGTGTTACATACTTTTGATAATCCAGTATGATGAGTGATGACTGAGTAGTTTTATAAAATTATGTATGTGATCTAAAAATCTTGAATTTTTTACCTATAAACGCTAGTTGTAAAAACATATTTCTAAAAAGGATTCGTCCCGTGGGACAAACCTCACTCCTTATTTCCCTCTTTTATAAACGCCTGTATGTACCTACAGTCGTGGACTGGACCGTATCGAATTACATGTATGCTTATTTGAATTGTGGTGCAAATCCCCAGGGACATCCGACAAAAATCGGTGGTCATGCTAAACGTCACGGCTGAAAAATCCCTAGAGCGACAGAATGTACCATTTTAGAAAAATGTATATATACATAAATACACTCGCATCATAAGCACACACAAACACATGATATTTGTATTATTACTTTTACAATGTCAACTAACAAAGAACACCGTATACCGTCGAATCCTTTATCTCATTAGTATATATTATTATTATACCGGCTAGGTTAAAATTATGGACTTAAGTTGTAGATTTCATTTTGAAAATGTACAAACCTACCGTTAGTGATAATCAAGGTTAAATTAGTATATTAAACAATAATAATTATTAATTATGACTTAAGAGTTATGTGTAATATTCACAAAAAATTATTTTATTACTATATAAGGTCCATAATGCTAAAACTTTATCGGTTTTTTAAATATTCTAAATTATGTTTTTTTACAAAAATTTAACCTATACCGAACAAGGCTTTGGTGCGCTTAATTTAAGGCAGTCGCAGACAGAATAGTATAAAATTATACATGATATAATATACGAAAGCATGTTAAAATATTATGTTGGCCATTTAATGTTTGAATCTTTTTAACCACATTTTAACTAGGTATTATAAAAGTAAACATTTTTTTTTTTGTGTTGCATAGGAAAAATAAAGATAGGTCAATGAGAGGCTTCTTCTTATAGAAGTACTATCCATCTCGAGTCATCCGCTGTATATATGGACATCGTTTAAAACATTATTTACTCCATGAGGGCAAAATCGACACCGTTGTGATCCGGTAGCGAGACAGGCCAATTTGTCATGATAAAATGTGGGCTTACAATAATTTATGACTGGATGCGGCCGACGATAACCCCCTCAGCGATGAGCGACTATTAATTAAACCCCCGCGTTTTCTGTAAGCTTTTGACGGCAACTTCCCCTGTTTACGCACTATAAAATAGGGATGTGCGTTTAATTAACACGCTATACGGTTATTTAACCACAAAAGCCACGTTTATTTTAGTTAATACAATATTAAATTGTACGCGTTAAAAGCGACACGATTTTTTTAATCATATACCAAATAAAAAGTATAGTATAATATATACTATATTACAATTGTCAAGGGAAAGGAAATCAATAACGTTGTCGTTTAAAAAATATTATATAGGTTTGGGAATCAGATCAACAATACAGAACAAACAAAAATTTCAAATTTTAGATTACACACCTTGAAAGTAAATAATAATAGACGGTTTCTTTACGATGGTTGATTGATAGATGAGAAACAATAAAGGGATCTAGCCAACAATACTCACTCGATGATATATTAAATTCGCTGCACACTTTTATCCGTAGAAGATAATCTGTTCAGCTAAATTTTAAAATGTTTTTAAATCGTGTGAAATAATAATTACTAATGAGTTTGACATTATAATTTATAGGCCAATTAGGGAATAATATGAAAGATAAAATAAGTATTTTTTTTTTACATTTTACATACCTAAATAAACATAAAATAACAAGCAGATTGAATTTATAAATGCAATTTATCGATATAAAAAATAATTCATACGTCAAACAAATAAACATTTTCCAAAGAATGCAATTCTTTTAGAGGATATCAGCGCAGCGATTTACAGGCACTAAAACATGTTTACTTTAATTGAAAATTAGTGGCTCTTAATTGATATTAATGCAAAAATACCTATTAGATTATTTAATGAATGTCCTATTTGAAATAACAAAAAAAAGGCTTCGAGCTGCCCTCAATAATGTTGTTTTCTTTAACTTTGATCATAAGATTAGGCTCTAAACTCACTCAGTAAGCCGTATTTTTGGATGTAAAAATCTAAGTTTTTATGAAATTTTTTTTTAAATCGCTGTCGCGGATGCTGTGATAGTCCGAAAAATAATTTAACTACCAAAAAAGAGTCTTGAATAGTGAACTAATAATTAGACATCACAGTTTAACCTTTAAGTTAAGATTTTTAAAAAATTTGCCTATGCTTTACTCCTTAAAATGGGCTGCGCTGACATCCTTTTAATATGTTAAGATTTTACTAGGTACCTATAAAATATTTCAATCTAATTAAATACAATACTAATTATAATTCTATAAAACGTATAGAATATTATTAAATATTATACAATTTAATTATAATTTTTAATATTAAATTTATGGGATAAACAAATTAGCAATGCCATATTGTAAAAATAAATGTAGGCAGTTTACAACACATAAGTGTTAATTTGTATAATACCTATAATATTATGTGGTAACGACAAACCCAAACAGTGATACATAATATTATAAAAGATATATATTTCTGACGTATGAGGATAAACATTTAGACACATCTAATTTAAAAATATAATGACCATCTTATTTTATGATGATCGTGAGATTTACAATAATTTAACTCGGTTACCACGCGGGTATTTAAAATGCAAATAACTAAAACATTTACGTTTTTAAATAAACGCATTTTATATTAAGTAATGCGTCTGGTTTGACGACGAGACACCCTTATCTGATCGCCCAATACACGGATTTAACGTTAATTCTGCCGTCAACGCAGAAGCTGTATATTTACATAATATAGTTAAAACGGGTTTTCAATAATCGGTTGGTTTTATCTAAATAGTTTTTCGGATGAGAATCAACGTCATGGTGAGCTATCAAATGACAAGTGATTTTTTTATGGTAGCGGTCACCCATTGCGGCTCGCTGTGTTAATGATTAAAAATGTACTTTTCCTCTAACCTAAAGAGGATGCCAATTTTATTTAGGAAGAATAATTTTTTTATTTAAAACAATACTAACGGAGTGAATGTTTTATATTTTGTATTTAAAACATATAGTTAAAAACAACTGTTGTAATTATTGTATTTTAGTGCATAATTCAAAAATAATATTTAAAAAGGTAATGTTTTCTAAATAAAGTAAAAAATACATACAATTTTATATAGAGTTCATTCTGAGCATACATTAATGGATAATATAATTAATATAATTAAGTATGTTCTGTTATCGGGGTTTACCACAACACACAATTTTTTTACCATACCGAAATAGGCGAAGACCGGCGACCGCAAAGTAACCCAGGCGTATCTATTAAAAACAAATAATTATAATAATAAGTATTAAGTAATAATTATAAAAATAAAGAATTAAGAATTAACTTTTATAAAGAAAACTATTTTAAAAGACTCGGAAGTTGGATTAACTTTACTTAAAATATATTTTTAAGTCTGACTATACAATTTTAGAGTTTTAAAAACATCTTTGCCAATTAAAATGCTCCGATTTTTAAAAACGAGAAATACTATATTATCCTAAAGCGGAGTGTGAACAACATTGTTTTATTGTTTAAAAATAATAGATAGGTATATGAAATAAAAAATGTTGTTCAAAATATATTAAAAAAATATGATTAGATATTATAATACATCAATACCTATTTATTTTATTTAATGTTCCATACTTTTTTATAAAACAATTTAATATGATTTTAAGGGAATGTTTTTTAGTTTATAAATAATTGTACTAATAATTTGTACATTGTAAAAATATTTAAAAATATAATACTATGCACGTTTTCTTAAATTTTAACTACAAGTACCCTATTGGCTATTATGAAAAGTGTGATTATTTCTACATATCTCCATTCTATAATATACTAATGCTAAGTAGCTGGACATCGTTGGTCGTAACAATTACAGATTAAGAGTATCTGTATATGCATTAATAACGCAATAAAGCAAACAATTATGCATTATATACGATTTAGGGAAAAACGGTAGAACTCAAAAACGGTTAATCCTACCGCGGTGGTTCTGCATGAATTATCCCGCTTGTGTGGTCGGACCGTTACAAAATCGTGTTGACGTTAGCAATGTTGTAAAAAAAGATCAAATATAATTTTTTTTTATAAAAATTCACACTCATTGTGTAGGAGGGAAAAAATTAGCTTACAAAAACCGTGCCCGCTTACATATGATCCCCGTCCGTTCAAATCGGATTCGCACGAAGGGCCCCATTGTAATAATTTGTCGGGAGCCCATAGGGTGCAGGCCGGCGGCCGCAGGCCTCGTGGAAACGGCTCTGCGGCCGGTCGCTTTCCCGCGGTTTACGGACACAATGGACGAAAGTGGGTCATTGACAATGCCGCGGCCCGTGAATGGGGTTGTAAACACATCATGGACGGACCCCGCGCCGAGAGGTCGCATCCGGCGATTGGCCCGCGCGTCGTCCCAGAGCGATCGATCATCGCGAATCCCTCCCGCGCCGTCCGTACGGATGAGATGCTGCGCTGCACAGCGGACCCGGTGTCCGCCCATTGGCCCGGCTTTTCGCCACCCATCCGCGTGCGCAGACTCCTCCTCCTCCATCGGCGTCCGCGTCGTCGCCGCCGCGCCAACGGTCACACGACGAGCGCACGGCCACGCGCCCCACAGTCGCAACGGACGCAACCAGTTGGCACGATCGCCGTTAGTCCACCGCCGTGCCGGTTATATCTTCCGTCGCCCGATACGAGTCGAGTGTTAGTCAAATTGACTCACATCCGAGTACGTTCAATCGCTCCGGTCTTTCAAAACGGATACACTTCGAACCAGGCTAATATTTATTTTTATTATTAGTATTTTATAAGTACAAATACAAATTTAAAAAAAACCCGTACAACGTCAAGTTCGTTCGGTTTACGCCACTGAAAAACTGTAATACAACATCGTGCACGTATCGTCGCCACTGCTGAGTCGGTCGCGGTGGAATGCGCCGTCATCGTCACTGGAATAAGTGATGTTATCGATGAACAGGCCGATTATCTATCAGGTGAGCTATCTGCGTCGTGTGTGTAACCCCCCAACATCTAAGCTATTCCTGTATACCAATAAAACTAATAATGACAAACAAATCATCCGTAATTAGACGTTTTCGCGCTGCCCCAACTGTATTTGGTACCTACGACATGAAAAAAACATTTAATCAACACTCCCAAAGACTTCAACGCTTGTCTATAAAATGATAGTACATAGGTATCATCAACGTGGCACGCGGCGGTTAAGACTTTTAGACATCTGGACTCAACGATTCGTTTTAAAACTTAAATTATGTTGATAATATTACAATAATTATACGTCATCAATATACCTACAAAGTAATCACTTTGTATTATTTAATAACTCTCATATATTCTAAACAAAATTATGTGATACATTATTTTTGAATGATTATCAAAAAATAAACAAACAATTTGTAAGTTAAAACTTGCAACCACGCAATAATAACAAAGTAAAAAAATAAGCTTCATATTTTTACCATTTTACCCGCAGTACCATAGCCAGAAACTTATTTCGGCGGCACTGAACTTTACGGATGGTTGATTCAATAACGTTTTATTTTTTTAAATCCTACAATAATACGTATTGGTAATTAGACTGCACAATAAAAAATAAATAGTTACTAGTTAGTCCAACCAAAATTATGGTTAGGTAATATAGAGGGACACAGTACATTTCTAGTTGGAATAACCAAATAGTTGGGCCAACTAAAACTTACTTTAGTTGGCAGAACTAAATGTACCTATAGTTATTTAACTAAAAGTTTTATGGCCGGTGACCCAATTATTTATTTATTTAGTTATTTCAACTCGAAATTTATTGTGTTACCAAGCTGCCCGCGCCGAGGTCACCCTTCTGGGGTAACGAGGTCTTTTTGGTACAGGTGATGGGTCCGCCTGGCGGTCGGTCATTTAAATTAGCCCTGCCATGGTACGGCTGGTTCTTACCGAGTTCTGTGACAAGAGAAATCTCATAGACAAGGCTCGGGCGAGTAGGACAAATGCCCGATTTGGAACTTTTGTGTCCCTATATTAGCCATAATTTTAGTTAGACCAACTATGTATTTTTTTCCGTGTGACTGTTTAATTTTTTAAGAAATTAACACCTATTTTTTGTTTGTATAAAATATTAAGTAATTAATCATATTTGTATGAATTAGTAAAATTATTTCAAGGAGGGAATACGTGCTCCGTCGCCCCAGGTTAGGAGTGAAGAGGGGCACCCAGATAGTAGGTACGCAATTTAATATACATATTTTTGACATAATGATTTAAAAGCGAGTTTTTTACAATAGGAATATAATAAATATTGCAAATCTCATAAAACAATTCATTATTTAAAATCCAACTTTATTTGCAAAAACAAACAATAATCTATGTTATAACAATCCGAAAATGTTCAATCTTTTAATTAATACAGTACACGACTGTGTTACAATTACACTCAAGTATACTCGCACGCCAAAAAATCGATATATTTTTTTAAAGTTTAATTTATTTTTTATATTTTCTCCTAGTAGACGTAGTATATTATGTTTGTATATATAGAAACTGCTAGGTATGAGGTAAAGAAATATGATTTTTAAGAATATATTATTATGAATTAAACCTTTTTAGTTTGAGAATTTTACCTTTTTGTAACCTTGGTTAACATGTTTTGTCTTACAATCACAACTAATTAATCTGGTTTATAAATTTTCATGTTTCCACTTCAAAAATTGTATTCTATTAATATTATAATTATTGCGAAACTGGTAGTTTCCATAATTATTTAATATAGTACATAGTTTATGTATTAATTATTATTATTGGAAAATTATTATTTCAAGCCATTCGTTTTGAAAATTTTTACAAACGAGAAATGGCAAAAAAAACAAATTCAGTTTAACATATTCTATCTTGAAATCGTTATTGTCAGTCCTTCTAGCTTGGCGGCCCATTAAAGTTGTGAACATCTAGTCGTCAGTTTATCCAGTGTTGATTTAACGTCAGCTCACCGTTATACATCCTATTTTAGCTTCGATGTGATAGCTGAGAAGGTATTGGTTTCATAATGATGCTTTTTTTTTAAATCACCATTTGGGACATTAAAAAAAAAAAGCTTTTCAAACCCTGTAGGGATAAACCTTAATCTATAATATTATATGCACACTGTATACATCGGATGAAACTTTGGCCTACGTGTGGTGTGCAACGCAAAGTTTTCTAATAAAAAAGTTTTTTTTTTTTGAGACTGCTGAAAACAATTTTTGTATGTTCAATCTCGCGATAGTGTCATTTTGTTATCGCTCCATCGCATTTCAAACAAGTGAGTCATGATAAACATCAAATACATCAATTTCGTTGGTATACAACAAATAAACTGATTAAGAGCACAGCAGATGTAAGAATTTGAAACGACAACCCTTTAAATTCCCTACCAGTAGTGTAGCGAAATCCGTCAGTTAAGAAAAGTCAAATTCACATATTATTCAACAAGTTTAATTCACTCTGCGTTATAATAGTTGACACAGATTGTTTTGTCAAATTACTTTCCTAAACACAGCCTAGAAGCACCGTGAAGTTGGTAAGTTGGATATTCCCGTTATCTTACCGGCATTAAATAGATAACTAATAGGCTACCCCACACAATATGAATTCTGAATAATAAAATATTGGAATAATATATTCAGGAAATAGGAATGTATAGTATATTATTATCATGTAAGGAATAGATAACTGGAACTCATTAGCTTTCCAACTTCCCGGCGCTATTAAGAATGTATTAAGGAATTAATTGTTTTGAATAAAATTTATAAATTCAAATAAAAATGATCAAGCACGGAAATAAATACATAGTTGGCCCAACTAAAATTATAGTTAATATAGCCATAGGAATACAATAAATGTATAGTTTGGATAACTCAATAAATATTTTCTTTAACTAAACATTTATTTGGTCGAACTATTTATTTAGTTATTCTAACTATGTATTTTTTTCGTGTAATCAAACAAAAAGGCAAAAATATCATGGAAACGTTCCAAAGAAATACAGCAGAAAAATATGTACTGATATTTACAAAACCATCTTGTGATTAAACATATAAGCTATAAGCATGTACATCGCACGCCACTTAGATAAGGTCGATATGTATGAGATAAATGTAATTAAGGTAGTTACTATAATGATAAAAAAAATACTAAACAAAGTTCATCTAAGCTTCTTGAAATGTTCGCTAAAACTCCCAAAAATTGTCTTAAACTCAAAATCGAATATTTTATTGATCGATTTAGAAGCACCGGCTTTATTTTGATAAACACGTAAGTACATTTCCTGTTCTATTTTGATCATTACGTTTCTGATCTCTTCTCGCAGATATTTAAAATATTTCGTAAAATGAAAAAGAGTCCCGACCCAATGGATCTTCTTCTAGAGATGGGCCAAATGTTCAACTCCACATTTATTATTCGCTGGCCTCTCTACGGTTTTATACACTTTTTTCTTATCTCTGGATTCTGGAATTCGCCTACATATTAAGGGAATTCACAAAATACATTCTATTTCATTTGAAAATTTATAAATTTAAGACCCGAAACTAGTATGAATAATTCAATCAAAGTTCTCTTGCGTTTTACTTTGAGATAATTAATGGTTTTGACTTTTATTGTTGTACAGACATCTAACATGGGAATGCACAATGCGAACACGTGTGCCGGAAACATGTACACACATACGGCTGGTGACGACTACTATGGCGGACTGGAGTACGATCCACAATGTATGGGGCGGCCGCCACTGGAGTCTACGGCGTACGCAGAATGCTATTACCAGAAGAATACGGCCGCCGACTACAGGACTTACTACGGGGACGCCGCTATAGGCGGCTACGCGTCTGACCCACTACAACTGCAGCAGCAGTCCGCCGACGGGTACCATCAAGCGGCCGCGGCCACCACGGCGGCTGAAGCGGACGTTATTATCACATCGTCGGACGGCTTGAGCTACACCAACTTGGACTGCAACGGCGGTGGCGGCGGTACGCCCACCGGCGGCAACGGACACCACGTGCACGACTACGGAACGTACGGCGGCGGCGACGAAGTCGCTGTCGGCTACAACGGCAAACCGTACGCGGGATATGTTCGGGACGACGCCGAACCCTATTGCGGCACGTCTGTGGACAACGCGTTCTTCAACATGCACTTGAACCATCACTCCCATCACCACCATCACCATCACGAGCAATCGACCCCGGCGGTGACAGACGATCGGTGTCCGCGAATCAAGCAGGAAAGCTCCTCCCAGTGTTATGGAACCCAAGACAGCCCGTCGCCTTACCACGAGGCCGCGGCTTACCAGCAGCACCAGCTAGGACAACCCCAACATGCGGTACACCAACAACACCTCCACCAACAGCAACAACAGCAGCATCAACAACAACAGCAACAACATTGTAGACAGAACGGCGGTTCGCAGAATCAGTTACAGCAGCCAAAACACGGTTCGACAACGCCGACCACAGTACCCACTTACAAGTGGATGCAAGTGAAGCGAAACGTTCCTAAACCAGCTGGTGAGTAAATGTTTTATTTGTATATTTATCTAACTTAATCGTGGGTTTTTTTTATGAAACATATCTTACGTGTTTTGTAACCGCTAATACCAGTGGCGGCTTTGGTTCTTTGCCCAGGGGGGGCCAATATTTTTTGATATGCATAAATGTGTACTTATATAAGTTTTCACTTATATTTATTTTTACAGAAAAAAAAACATTAATTACCACTGCAGCTGAATTTATTTATTTATCTTATTTAACTTCAAACTAACTGAATGGCGACACACGTACTGTCAAAATCATGTCTAGGGGGGGGCATGGCCCCTATGGCCACCCCCTAAGCGGCACCCCTGGCTAATACCTATACCCAGACGAAAAAGTGAAAATGAATACTTCAGAAATATCGTGAAAATGTTTAAATTATATATTTATGGCCATAAACAGTACAAAATAGTATAATTACCATTTTGTCGGTTATAATTTTAAAATATAAATACTTTATTATGAATTATGGGTATCTTAAAAAAAACTCAGTGTCGGCGTGAATGGCATTAAACAAATAAATCGATAAAATAATAATAAATAAAAGGATGTTAAAAATACAAAATTGAACCTATCCAATATACAATAGAAATAATCGGCTGTATTCTGAAATGAATGCTGTCAACGCGTACGGGTCGACCGCGGAAGCGCACCAATTGGCTGTTACAAATGGTACAAAACCCATCGTTTAATAAGTAATTGAGGACAATTTACCAAACACCTTGTTCCCATCGGGTTACCACATCACGCCATGTGCACGCCGATTAAATTCGTCCCTCCAAAATTCATCGTCCCAATGTTTTTTTCTACACAAAACGATCTTTGTTGGACGTCAATTAAACATTCAATTATTTTATATTTGAACGGCCGTGGCAATTCACACATCATCATATCTATTTATAATGTATTCCAACTGCGATCTCACACTAGAGTGAACTTTTCCCCAAGTTTTAATATACAAACACTCGCTGCTAAAACGTCTTATATTTTAAGAATATTGTATTTATAACGTCCTACCGGAACCGGAGTAGCTGCACGATTAGTTGACGGTTGTCGTTTTAGATAAATAACGACAACCTTATACTAATCATATTGACTTGTAAATAATGCAAGGTATACATTATTATTTAATGCTCCGAGAGAAGACGGGTTTCATACATTATCATGAAGAAATTGTTGTACTTGAAAACTTCTGACCGACTGCGGGAATCTATGCACGTTTGCTCCGGTCCGGTCGTGACGGTCGGTTACGGAAAGGGTGTACAATAAGAAAAAAAAGTGGAACATTATCCTTAATATACGTGTAGCGGGTAAAACATATCCACATTAATGTGGTTGCGCCTACAGGAGAAGAATGTCGCACCGCGTGACACTTCATGGAGTGTGTCAGCCCGCGTTGACTCGCGACGGGGCATTCTCGCGGATAAAAACGCGTTTCTTTTTGTTTACCCTGGGCAACGAGGCACAGAGATAGACACAGATTGACTGACGGGAAGAGAGAACGGAAGAGACCGGAGAGAGCGAGGGAGAGACTAGTCGTTATTCGGCATTCCGGCTCTGACGTGAGCCGATTTTCACAATGAAATGGCGTAATCGTATTCCATAACACACACTCGCATTTGACTCGATCCCTGCTGACCAAACAAACCGAATCTCGTGTACACATTCTATTGTAGGTGTTTATAAATATATAATATATATTGGACACTCCGCCGTGCACCTTGTGCATCATGATATTCATCAACCCGACCGGTATTATAAAGCACCGGACGTCCAATAATAATAATAATAATAACTTGAATTGTTTACCTACCCTTATATGATGCCAATGGTACGATGATATAGTTCTGATTAGATAGTGCAAATAAATAGAGAAATCTGATGTGAAACAAAGAAACATGTATTTACAATATATTTCCAATCATGAATGAATAAACGTAAATTATTTTTCTTTGGAAATTACTGTTTTTTTTTATTTATCTTATCATTCTAAACACCTAATTAAAAATTAACTATATTATTACAATTTCTTCTTTGCGATTACTTATATTATAATGTAGTTCATATTTGGGCAGAGCAATGACTTTCGGAACGTGCATCCCATTTTCTGTCTAAGAAATTGTATAGGTTTCAGTCAAGTCTTTTTTCTGCAGTCTATGAGACATTATTCAATATTCATACACATGAACACTATCCGGTGTCCATAAGTTTGTATGCAGTTTTAGGTACATTACCTGAACGTTAATTTGACGAGGACTCTCGTCTCGTGATTAACTTTAGTATTCGTTTGAACTCGAGTGATATTTTATGATGAAAAAATACAATTCAATTTCTGTGAAAAGTCCACTATTTTTCACTTAATTTATAGTGTCTAGCGCCTAGTGACAAATTACCAGCTTATATAGGTAGGTTGGCAAAAGTTGATTGTATTTCTTTCCAACTTTCGGTAAAAGCCAATAAATAAAAGTTGATAATAAAAACACCCAGACACACCACAGATGTATTATAAGAGTAACGTTGTGCACAAATTATACTTACCAGTTTTCGCTAGGTGTATTAATAAATTAGTAACCGTTGTTAGCTAATATTAATGAGCAAACTTCTATTTATATACATATGCATTGCGGTCAATTGTTCAAATTAAACTATTACATAATGATTCACTTGATTGTTAGTGTTGGTCACAATTTTATTTATTCCAGTGTTTTCGACATCAACACTTTAAACATTTGTCAACTGGTTAATATATAAATACTCTACGTTATTGTGCTAGGTGAATATTATATCATAATTCATAACTAACATTTTAATGTCGACGGTAAAAACTAGATATTAATTATTATACGTAAACCATAATACTAATGGTAAAGCATTGAATTATACAAAAGCTGGGCTAGGATTTCGAATGATTTTTCCCCCTTTTTTAATATGAACCTGAGTTTTGAAAAAAATAATAATCATGCATCAGTAGCATGATATTTAAGCGCATGTATAATTATTCGTGTTTTAATTATAATCGACCACTCCCGCGGAATACTCGGCAGTCCCTTTCGTGAAGTGCTAATACAAAAAATCCACTTACACACTCACAAAATGAAACGCGTGCACGCACATAACATGTCTATATGTATACACGGTGGACCTACTTGGGGTTTTGGAATTCAAATGCGATATTTTTGGTTTAAGCCTTCGTCATAGTTAACATAATTTTTGGGCTATCTCCGGACGTGTAGTTATAATTATAATAATTATTATTATTATGCAACGACTCGCCTATCACTGTATTGTAATAGCTATTGATTTTCTACTCAAAAAAAAAAAAGAAATTATAACTTTTGCGTTGAACAGTGGAGATTGTGTAAAAAAAGACAACACGGGTTTGTTGTGGAAAAAAAATATGCTAATACGGCTAATTTTAAAGTTACAATATTGGATGGCGTGAACCGTGCAGACAGTGTGGTCACGATTGACGGCACATAACGTGAGAAGACCTATTGGGTATAAAAAAAAATGACAATACACATAATGTACAACGACAAAGAAATGTAGCACAATATTGCCATCTCTATCAGGCATTTTAGGCATTTTCAAGATGTTTCACTGAGTGTGTTTAACGAGATTCGAGAAAGCCTTCTTTGTTTATTGTGCATAGCGGTAGAATAATATAAATTATTGAAACATTATTCTCCTAAAGAGGTTGTCCACTCTTATTCAGACTCCCATTTGACGACTTCAGCATAAATTCAGCATGTAAATGTATCGACCAAGTGAGCTTAAAAACAACAAGTTTTAATTGCTAAACTAAACCTAGCCTGGGGGAAATATTAACATTGAATACTCAATACACTCAAGATACTTGGTTTGGATTACAGATATCACATTTATACACCTATACGATTTAATATATTTAATATTTGTTTAAATCTGTTGAGTTTGTGGGAATGCTCACGTGTCACGTTCCAAAGGGAACAACTGGATTTACGAATGTTAGCAAGGTACAATACAAAAAACATAATACCTGTATTCCTATACATGAATACAATACACATTATGTCATATTGACATCATACAATTGGGGAATCAAAACTCTTTATGAAAAATCCTTAAATCCTTAAAACGCGACCACACGCGGAGCTAACCACAAATAAAAAGAGCATAAGTATAAATGGGAAACAACGGACAACGGTACTTAAACCTTTTACTTTATAAACAATTATTTGCAATAGACTCAATAAAAATATGCCATCGGGATATGAATTTAAACTCAGATGGTTATGGCAGCATAATTATTGGTCGTTACTAAAAAGATTGTTTTCGATGTCTTATTATAAACAATGTTTTAATTAAGCACAACATAGATCAAGTATAAAATCGATTTACAATAATTTCGTTCAGTCCGAATTTCTTGTATGTATTAATTAAATACTAAAAGTGCTTTAACCACTATACTCCAAAGTCACATATAATTATAATTAATATTTAATAGTTTCGTTATAAATAACTATTAATATAAATCTTTATAATTTTTAAAATACTATTCCGATTCGAGATTTTTCGGTACAGTGTTATTTCCTATGCACCGGTTTAAATATGTGTCTCCAAAATATGTGCCTGTTGTTATTAATATTTTATTATTTATTAACATGTCAACAATTATTACTAACATGAGCAGTAGTTAGAATCACGAGTCGTGATTCTAACGTGATTCACGACAAATGACAATATAACTGCTGTGCATTTATTAATGACGGAGTGACACAAAATTTACCGTGGATAGGAACTGGGTACATATTATATCACCGATTTATTTTACCCTAACTCAGGTACCAGACTTTTAGTGTCACATTCACATCGTATGTTATAATTAGCAAATACATAAAAGATAGATCAATTATTAAATATTTTATGTAAATTTAAAAGTAGTCTTAAATTAAATGTTTAGTATTAGTTATGTTAAGAGTAGTTATTTATTGTAT